GCTGACTCTGAGAAGAATGGGAATCCCAGAACACCTGATCCTGCTAATGTGAAACCTATACTTGGACCAAGAGACAGTCATCAGAACAGAGCAAGGAAACACTGCATGATTCAAAATTGGGAAGGGTGTATTCCAGGGATGTGTCCTACCTCCATACCTTTTCAATCTGTATGCAGGACGAATCTGTTTGATTTCCTAGTAGTCCATGGTATTCTCAATACTCTTCTCCAGCACCACAGCTCAAAGGTATCGCTTCTCCTCCTATCCTCCTTGGTCATTGTCCAACTCTCTGATGCATAACAAGTGATTGTGAAGACCATGGCCTGTGTCAAATGCACCTTAGTCTCCAGAGAGACACCGTTGCTCTTCAGTACTTTGGAGAAGTCCTAATAGCCGACTTTACAATGGCAATGCACCTTTTAATTTCCTGGCTACTGGTGCCAAGAGTGTTGACTGTGGAGCCAAGCAAACTAAAGCTGTGAACAATCTCAATCTCTTCACCATCCATCCTGATGCTACCAATTGGTCCAGTGGTGAGAATCTTTGTCTTCTTGACATTGAGCCTCAACTTGCATATGAGTACTTGCATATGAGAAATTACTGAGTAGGACTATGCAAATACTAGATGTTTGTGGCCTGTGAAAGGGATTGGGTTATCATGTAAATAGATTATGTAGAACGCTAATTGTTGTTAGGTGTCATTGAGTCAAGTACGACTCATAGCAAGCCTATGAATAACAGATCTGAACATTGTTCTATTGTGTGCTATCCTTATACTTTATGACACGTTATAGCCCATTGCAGTAGTTACTGTGTCAGTCCACCTACTTGAGGGTCTTTCATTCGCTGACTCTCTGCCTTCCTGAGCATCATATCCCTCTCCAAAGAATAACCTCTCCTAACAATATGCCTGAAGTATGTGAGGTGAAGTCTCATCATCTTTGCCTCCATAAAGCACTCTGTCTGTACCCTCTCAAAGACATATTTGTTTGTTCTTTTGACCATCCATGTGATGTTCATTGCTCTTCTCCAACGCCAGAACTCAGAACTCTTCTTCTGTCATCATTATTCATTGTTCAGCTCTCAGAATTATAGCAAGCGATGGAAAAAGACTATGCCCTCCTCAAGAATTTGGAGAAGTCCGTGACAGTAGACTTGCCCAATGCAATATATCTCCTAATCCCTTGACTGTTTGTACCAAGGATATTGATTGTGGATCCCTTATTCTTAGGTCCTAATGATTAGAGAAAGATAATTTTTTGAGGTCATTTTGTAAACTCTTTCTGTCATAAAGCATAAAACTTACATGAGGCAAGTTTTCATTTTTTTTTTAAGGTTCTAAAAGAAAGCCATGGAGACTTCATTTTGTAAATATATCATGCTCCCAAAACTCTTAGTCTGTCAATGAAATTTAAATTCCAGTGACAACATTCTCAATGGAACTGTTTGTTAACTTGGAAAGCCAGTTTTTAATTTTTTCTAGCAGAGAAGAATGTCCAAAACAATTTTTAAAAAGGGTGACAAATGCCAAACAAATGATAAAACAAACAAGTTACAAACTATGTTTATTAAAATCTTATAGAAATTGTCTAGGAATACGAAAAATTCGGGGGTTACAGTAGGGAGTTAAATTATAAACGATAAAGTTGTTTTAAATCAAAAGAGAAATTATAAGTTTTTGATAAATGGTAGAACTTTTATATATTCATTTGGAAATTAGTTTGTTCCTTGTCCTAAGAACAAAAATAATTTACAGATGTATTAAATAACTTAGTATATTAAAATAATAGAAGTTGTAGAAGCCCTTTGAAAAATTTGCTTGTATATTTGGAGTAGAGAATATCTAACCCAAATGCTAAGAAATAAAATTGCCTAGCACAGAGGAAGCTCTGGTGTACAGGCCTTTGGGAATTGTACTGCTACTCAAAGGTTGTGCTTCTCAGGCAATTTTCATCCACCTGAGGCTCTGAAGGAGAAAGACACTTTCTTCCCAAGTGATTTATAACCTCAGAAACCCAATTGAGAGTCAGCTCTGAGTAATTTGTGACCCTGTGTGTGTTTGAGAGAGACAAGAGAAGCAAGGGAAGGCGGATTGGATAGGGAAAGTGGGAAGATGGGGAGATCGGGCGAGCTTGGGCACAAGCATATGAAAAAATGTGCAAAAAGGGGATTTTACTTTCATCCATGTAAGTGAAATTAAAATGATTTGTGTCCCCCCTTTCCTTTTTTCCCTATTCAGTTATATTAGAAAATATTTACTCAATTCACATGTTGACATGAGTTTGGGAAAACATTTATGTTAATGAATTTTAAGGATCTTATTGGCAATATGCACTGTAGTTTAAAGTGTGGGTATCTTTTGAAAGAATGATTTCACTTCCCGGCTTCTAATTTAAGGAAATATATGGGTTCACAGCACTAATAGACATCTGCTGGAGGTGATATTAAGGAGCCTACGTGGTGCAGTGGTTGTGCTTGACCATCATATAGGGTCACAGGTGACTCGATGGTACATAACAACAACAGCAGTTGCTCCATGGGAGAAAGATGTGGTCAGATGATTCTTTCAAGAGAGTCTCTCTCACTGACCCTCTAGTGGATTTCTAAGGTTTTTTAGGTTTGACTGCACAACTCTTTTTTTCTTTTTTTAATGAAAATTTATAGAGAACTTGGATTTCCATTCATTCATTTTTGTAATTTTCTTTCCTGTCCACCCCCATCTCCAGTTCACTTCTCTTTGAGGAAAAAAAAAATTCTTTCACTGGTATACAATTCCCCACCCCTACCCTAGTCTACTATGCAGCTCTTATTCTGGACTGTTGTCATAAAAATAAGATCTAATAATTTATTCCATTTAAGCAGTTATTTCCCTCATCTGTTTCAATACAGTGTGCATTATTTATCCCCTCTTTTCTTAGATTCATCCAACCCCTATGTCAGTCCTGGGGTTTTTTTTTTACATTTAAAAAAAATATTCTTTATTTCAATGAACATTTACAGAGCCTTTGGATTTCCATTCATTCATTCATCGTTGCACTTTTCTCCCCTCCCAATCCTTCCCCCTAGTACATAACCCTCTTGTAAAGGAAAAGAAAAATTCTTTCATTGTTTTACAAACCCTCCCCCAGTTCCACTCCACTATGCAGCCTTCGCTCTGGACTCCTGTTAGGACAAAAATACCTAATCACGTGTCCCTTTTAAGCAGTTTTCTCCCTCATCTGTTTCAATGCAGTATACATTATTGAACCCATCTTTCTTAGTCTCCCCCCAACCCCTATGTCAGTTATGTTTTACAACAGTGGCACCATGCAGTATTTGTCCTTTTGTGACTAAGAAGTTTCACTCAGCATAATGTCCTCCAGGGTCACCCATTTTGAATAATATTGCATAAGTTCCTTGTTTTTCAATGCAGTGTAGTATTCCATTGTGTGAATATACCACAGCTTCTCTACCCATCGTTTGTTGATGGGCACTTGGATTGTTTTCATCTTTTTTTTTTTCTTTCTACTTGTATCTCTGTTTCTGACTAATATTGTTGTTTATTGGTGGGTACTTTTGAGTCTATTCTAAATTGTAACAACTCCCTGTGGCAGAGTAGAACAACCCCACAGGGTTCCCCTAGGGTACAGTTGATCTTTGTGGACACATGCCACTTCTCCAGTCCATTCGCCTAGTGGGCGTAAGTCATGATCTTCAGTAAGCAGATAAGTTCTCAACAATTTACACCACCAGGGCTACTTTAACACTTCATTTCACCCATTTTATATCACTTTTAGTCACAACATTTTATAATCTATTTCTGAAAACAGTGCAGTATTGAATACTCTCTGCACATGGATTAACACATAACAGTAATTCTCTGAGGAAAGGCACCATGAACGAAGGCTTTGCCACAGGGTGCGGCTTCTCAAGGATTTCTTTCATAACCCTAGATATACCTGCCAGTAATGGGCTAAAGATGGGTATTGTGTATCTGCACACACACTCTTGAAACAGATTTTTTTTTTAAGAGAAAAGTAATGTAGTATGTGCTTCCATGCTTATTCATTAAATGTTTATTCTAAATGTGTGAATAATTGGTATCTAACAAACTGCGCTACAATCTCAAAGGCATGCAGTTCACTTCTACCACCCGCTCTGCAGGAGAAGGATGGGCAATCTGTGCCATTAGCTGAAAACCCACTGTAGGGTCAGCTAGAGGTCAGTTCCGACTCAGTTGTACACAACAACACAACAACATGTCAGATGAGAAAAGTGTTAATTTAAAGAAATGTATGTACATAGTGGGAGAATGAGAGACTGATGGGATTTTTAGATAGGTATCAGTGTTTAAAAGGTAGCCGAAGGCAGTGCTTTCTTTATGTCTGTTCTTAGGGGAAAGAGATAAGTAAAATCTCTTCACAAGGGCTTTATGGAATGTTAGCTTTAATCTCTGGATTTATTATATGAGAATTAAAAAGAAAATCTCTGGTTATTTTTATTTTAATTTTTTTATATTCTTTTTTAGTTGTGAAGTAATGATACAGCTGAAAATTGCTTTTGTGCATTCTGCAAAGACAAGACTTTGGGGTTTTAACCAAAGTGTTAGCTGCTTTTCCTATAAAAGACTATATTTGTTAAATAAAGAATTGTGTATTGTGGATAATTCATAGGCTTGTAAGAGAAGATGTTTGCATTCATTTAAAACCCACCCAGAGAGGCCTTGAGATACAGACTGAGTAATCAATTTCTGCAAAATTATAGCCTCGAAAACTCTGTGGAGCATTTCTTTTGTGCATGTATGAATTAGCCACAAGCTGTTATCAGCAGTAACTAACATCCACAGAATTTTATAACTAGTTCACAAACTATTTTCCCTTATATTAATCTAGTTTAAATCACATTTTCCTTGTAATTTAAGCAAAACATAAAGACGGAACTAATAAAACTTTTTGAAACTGTGTCCTCATGACAGAGACCAGCCATCCTGTTAAAAGCAATATGGTGAATTCTTTTTGCAGAAATCAACGAAAGGTTCCGTTGTCCTTGACCATGTATTCCGTCACATAAACCTCATGGAGATAGATTATTTTGGGCTGCGTTACTGTGACAGAAGCCATCAAACGGTGAGTATAATGACTTCATATAATGCTTTTTAGGTTATATATTTCTATCTTTGGCCTTTCCTGATGTGATTTTAGATGACTAGTTTCTTTGTAATGGAAAATTACTTTGAAAACATAAAGAATATTTTACCTGGATAATTTCTTTGTCAGAAGTGGATTTGTAGGGCACAAGCTTATGTATATGTGGCATTTGAAGATGGTTTGTTTGAGTCCCCTTTTTGCAACTATATCACACTGAGTCCTTTTTATCTGTACTGTTAAAGACATAGATTATGAGAATGGTGTAGTATTAGGCAGGATTTTATTCTATTGCACACAGGATTACTGTAATTAGCAAGGACTAACTGGTCTTCACAATCACTTGTTATGCATCAGAGAGTTGGACAATGACCAAGGAGGATAGAATAATTGATGCCTAGAGCTGTGGTGCTGGAGAAGAGTATTGAGAGTACCAAGGAAAACAAACAGATTTGTCCTGGAAAGGGTTAAACCGGGCTGCTCCTTGGAGGCAAGGATTCTGAAGCTCCGTCTAACATACTTTGGACATGTTGTGAGGAGAGACTGGTCCTTGGAGAGGGACATCATGCTTGGGAGGGTGGAAGGACAGTGCAGGAGGGGAAGGTCCCCTATGAGGTGAATTGATTCAGTGACTGGGATAATTGGGATGGGAGTGTCAGAGACAGTGCGATTGGCACAGGACAGAGCAGAGTTTAGGGCTATTGTACAAAGGGTCGCTATGAGTCGCAAGCAACTCGACGGCACATAACAACAACAAAGCAACAACAACTGACTCCTAGCAAGAAGTCATTAAATAATGTGTGAAGAGGCAGGTGACTAGTCTCTCAAATGCCACTTTAAAAAAAATTTATTATTAATTTCAGTAAAAATCTACAGATACTTTGGATTTCCATTCATTCATTCATTGTTGCACTCCCCCCCAACTCTCCCCCCTAATACACTACCCTCTTGTAAAAGTAAAACAAAAATTCTTTCATTGTTTTACAAACCCTCCCCCAGGTCCACTTCACCATGTAGCCTTCGCTCTAGACACCTGCCATGACAAAAATAAATAATCACATATCCCTTTTAAACAGTTTTCTCCCTCATCTGTTTCAATGCAGTATACATTATTGAACCCATCTTTCTCAGTCTCCCTCCAACCTCGATGTCAGTCCTGTTTTACAACAGTGGCACTATGCGGTATTTGTCCTTTTGAGACTGATGTTTCACTAAGCATAATGTCCTTCAGGGTCTCCCATTTTGAATAATATTGCATGAGTTCCTTGTTTTTCAATGCAGTGTAGTATTCCATTGTGTGAATATACCACAGCTTCTCTATTCATTTGTTTGTTGATCGGCACTTAGGTTGTTTCCAACTCTTTGCTATTGTGAACAAAGCCGCAATAAACATGGGTGTGCATCAAATGCTACTTTTTAAAAATAATTATTGTTGTTTAAGAAAGTAAATAATTAAGAGAAGGCATACATATAATGTTAAAAGGCACCTAAGAGGAAGCTCTGTTGGCCAACTGGGTAAGAAGTTGCCCTGCCAACCCAGAAGTATACAGTTCAAATCCACCAGTTGCTTCAAGGGAGAAAGATATGCCATCTCCTCTGTGTGATTTACTGCCTCTAAAAACCTCCGGGAGGGTTAACCATGAGTCACTTCCAACTCAATAGCAGTGAGTTAGCTTTGGCTATCTAGGTTTAAAAAGTATAATGTTCAACTATGACATTCAATAAGGGGCTTTTATTTGAGAGCTTAATAAAGTAAGAACATTGAAGGCAATCTAGATTCTGGTGTCTGGTGCCCAAATGTTCACTAGGAATAATGCAGAAGTTCTGCCTGAGTGGACAGTGGAGTGTTACTAAGAAACCCATCAAAGTGGTTAGTATAGAATCTGTGTGGTTATTAGGCTGAAAAGCTGTCTTTTTGATGGAGAACAAAGAGAAACCTTAAAAGTAATACTTTTGAGTGATGAATGAAGTATGTTCATTATTCAGACTTTTTTGGTTTAAGAAAGAGCTTAACCACACATAGACATCATCTTATGAAAAATAATTAAACATTTATCTTAAAAAATACTATAATTGACTTTTCTTTGTCATGCTTTTGAAACTCTAATTTAAGGAAAGTTTCCTGCTTTTTTCCAGTTGTACCCTCAGCCTCTGCTGGGTCATTTGAACCCTTTCAATGCGTAACAGTTATCTGTGAGAAGTGTTATGGTGTCTTGGCCCTGAGAATGTGCCAGGATGTGGAGAGGAAGGCAAATGGAATGCTATTAGGGGTGATAACTTGTGATTTTTCTCAAACTCATTTCCTAATTTGTTCTGTTTAGCAGGAGGCTTTCACAAGGTAGGAGTATAAAATTGGGTGTTGGTTAGCTTTTTGCAGAAAGAAATTGCTATCTAAAGGTAAGCAGTCATTAAATTCACACTTCAAAGAAAGAGAAAAGGGCAGATCAGAAGTTCACTGAATTCTCTCTCATCCAGTCCATAAGTCAATGGAGCAGAACTGTAAATCTATACTGAGTGATTACATTGAAGACTATAGAAGGTATCTTGCATTACATTCATATTTTTGAAATAACATTTTTCCCCGCAGAGAAAAATACAGTTTCTTGATCTTATCTAGTACGTCAGACCCTGTCTGGAAAGATTGACTGTCTTGCTAAAATTATATAGACCTTATCTCTTTCTCTCTTTTCTTTACTTTATAAAGAAAAAATGTGAAAAGCTAGATAATGTGAAGCAGTGCCTATTATTGTTGCAGAAGCATTAACAATTAATTTAGTCTTAATGAAAATTTTGAAGGGGTTATATTAATACTGAAACCAGCATTTTTTCCTCTTACCTTTAGATTTAAGGTATTCATGGTAGTATGGGTTTTAAGATAAAATTAAATTTCAAAGAAGAAACTATTAATTTATGTGGCTTTGGTGAAAATGACATGAAAAAAATGAATTTTTGCATCTTGACTTTTTGAACCCTGATAAAATATATAATTTACAAACATTGTTAAGTCTTTCTGTGTTTAAATGTATTATATGACAATTGCCTCTTGATTCACTTTAGTTGTGGGAAGCTGTGTTAGAGTTAGAGTTTTACATGAATAATAATAATAATAATAATAATAATAATAATAATAATGTACCTCCTACTATGGCAGATGCTCAGAATTTCCCTGATATTAAACCTTCATGTGTAGTCTCAGGTGGCTATAAGAGCTTTGGTTTTATTTTGGGAGAGGAAAATTAAGTAAGTGCAAGTGTGATCTAAGAAAGCAGTACTAATTATTGCTTCAAGTTTATTTAGGATATTTATTGTAGGCAGAGAAGGTTGGTAATATCCAGTAATGAAAGGCAGAGGGTTGAAATTACAATGCAGACTTTCTTACTTTAAATAAATGTGTGAACTTGAAATTAATCTGAGGCTAAAAGGATTATAAGATACCTTTTGAAATTTCAGAAGTCTTCACAGAGCAAAGCACAGGCTTGAGTCTTCATCTGTTCTAGAGTAGTTGTGTAGCTGTGGGCCACTCACTAAAATTTCCTGAATCTTGATCTCTTTATCTACGAATTGCAAATAATAGTGCTTCTCTGCTACTTGCTGTCAGGATTAAATCAAGTCCTAGCCATAAGAGGCTGCACTGAAATCCTGAAGAATAGATCCTGTGATTTATTCTGGGGAACTTTCCATGCACATTGGAGAAGAATATGTACTGTGCTTTTTTGGGGTGCATTAACCTATAATATTTATGAGATCAAGTTATTTTATTGTGTGGTTTAATTCTTCAGCATTTTTGTTGAGTTTCTTTCTGGTAGTTCTATTTTTTCTTCAGAGTAGTGTGTTGAAGTCTCCAACTCCTACAGTAGTGTTGTCTATTTCCTTTTTCAAAAAGTTTTATTTCCTCTTTCAGTTCTGTTAATGTTTGTTGTATATATTTTCAGGTCTTTCATTTGGCACATAGATATTATTTATTATTGTTACATCTCTTGTTCTATTGACCCTTTAAGCATTATGTAGTGACCTCCCTTCTCCTTTGTGATGGTTTTTGCATTGACATTTATTTTACCAGAAATGAATATCACTACTCTTGCATTTTTCTGGTTGCCATTTGCTTGGTATATTTTCCCCCAACCTTTTATTTTTAGTCTTTCTTTATCTTCCCTTTTCAGGTGTGTCTTTTGTAGACAGCATATTGATGGTTTTTTATCCAATCTGCTACTCTTTTTCTCTTCAGTCATGCATTTAAACAATTCACATTCAGTGTGATTATTGAGAGGCAAGGTTTTATTTCTGTCATTTTGTTAAGTTCTTTTTGGTGTTGTTGCTAGTTACTTTGGCCCATCCTGCTTTCTGTGGCACTTCTGTAAGAACGAACGTCTCTCAGTGTTTCCTGCAATGCTGGTCTTGTTTTTACAAAGTCCCTTAGGTTCTGTTTTTCTGGGAATATCTTGATCTCTTCTTCATATTTGACGGATGATTTTACTGGGTGTAGTATTCTTGGTTGACAGTTGTGTTCTTTGAGTGTTCGATATATGTCATTCCACTGTTTTCTTGCTTACATGGATTCTGTTGAGAAATTGGCATTTAATCTTATGTGCTCACCCTTATAGGTTACTCTTAGTTTCTCCCTCACTACTTTTGGAATTCTCTCCTTATCTCTGGTTCTGGCAAACTGGACTATGATATGTCTTGGTGTTTTTCTTTTGGGGTCTACTCTATATGGTGTTCGCTTAGCTTCCTGACTATATATTCTCTCATTCTTCATTATTCCTGGGAAGTTTTCTTCTAGTACTTCTTCCACAACTTTTTCAGTTCCTTTCCTTGCTTCTTCCTATTCTGGGATTCCTATGATATACATGTTATTTTTCTTGATGGTGTCCCTCATTATTTTTAGGTTTTGTTCTTTTTCCTTCCTTTTTGATTCTGCTTTTTGCTCTAGCAGATCAGTGGTGACAATTCTATCTTCAGTTTCACTGATTCTGTGTTCCATC